TCCCTCCCTCCCTCCCTCCACTATGCCTGGACCATGAAGTTGATAAGACGGTCCCTAAGGCAGACTGGGGGGCTTCAGCTGCCGGTCCTCCCTTAACAACCCCCCTCCTCCCCGCTACTGCTCTGCCTCCCAACGGCCCTTCCGTGGTTGCAGGTGGACATCTGGTCGCTGGGCGTGATGGTGATCGAGATGGTGGACGGGGAGCCTCCCTATTTCAACGAGCCCCCCCTGAAGGCCATGAAGATGATCCGAGACAACCTGCCCCCCAAGCTGAAGAACCTGCACAAGGTGAGAGTGAGAGGGCGGCTTCTGGAGGGTTCCCTGCCCGCCCCCCATTGCCACGTCCTGCCCTTGGTGGCATCACGCATTATCCAAGGGTGGCTTCTGCCGCCAGCTGTTGTTCAGGCTGGTGGTGGCCCTCCATCATTGATGACTCTCCCCCTCTTGGCTGTGGCCCTCCTGCTCACCGAGGTCAGATCCACCTTCCGGTTCGGGGGCAGGGGGGGCAGCTATGGGGACTTTATGACCGAGGGGATTTAACTCCCAGAATTCCTGAACCAGCCTGGCGGTTTCTACATCAGGACCTGGCATGAGGCCGCCCAATTCGTGGCTTCTTTGGCCCAGGGTGGGCAGAGAAGGTGGGCCAGTCCGTTGTTGGGGAAGGGGCTCCCCAAGGGCCCCCCGCAGCGGCTTCCCTCTTCCAGCCGTGGCTGAGGCCTCCTTGCTCTTCCTCCCTGCAGGTCTCGCCTTCCTTGAAGGGCTTCCTGGACCGCTTGCTGGTCAGAGACCCGGCCCAAAGAGCCACGGCCAACGAGCTCCTGAAGCACCCCTTCGTGGGCAAGGCCGGCGCCCCCTCCTGCATCGTGCCCCTCATGCGCCAGAACCGGATGAGGTGAACCAGCCGGAAGCCTTCGTGGAGAGAGAGCCCGGTGGGGAAGGACCCATCATCTCCAGCCAGTCCCACCAAGCAGTGGGGACCTGCGTGCGAGGAGGGGCCTTTGGGACCCCCTCCAAGCCCTGCTCCTGGGGGGCAGTCCCCCAGTGGGCGTGGGCAGGAGGCGTTCAGCCAGCAGTCGGGACCCTTCCTCAAGGACTCCTCTGGGCCCCAGAACGGACGCTTGGACCCACCTCTAGCAGGGCTGCTCTGCAGCAGCACCACATTTACTACTGAATTGAGGAGGGGCTTTGGGGGTGGGCTGGGGGCGAAGAAAGGCGGCAACGTTTCTCTTGTCGGTCTCCTAAATCCTGGCGGGGGGAGGGCAGGCAGCGGCTCTTGGGCAGCGCAGGGAGGTTCCCTTCCCTCTCAGGGGGAGGCCCAGGGAAAGGGGGGCCTGGCCAAAGGCACCCGGGGGTGGGAGAGGGGAGAGGAAAGCTGCCCCCCCTGCAGTAGCCCCCCTCCCCTCCTTCCGTGAGGGAGGAGAGCAGAGCCACCCGGCAGCCCCTGTGGGGTCACCAGAGCAGGAAGCCCCCTTGTGCCCAGATGCTATTCCTCGCCGTGAAGGATGCAGTATTTTAGGGGGTCCCAAACCTCCGGTAGGGAGAGGGGGCTCCAGAGGACCTGAGGGTTGGGGGCTGCTCCTCGTGGCAGCCTGGGGTCCAGAGGGGGCCGTGCTTCAGAGCCAGGCTTGCCACGGGCACTGAGAAGCTGAGAGTGGCAGCACTCCTGGCACCGCAGAGGGGGCGTCTCTCGGGCTCAGGTGGGAGGCATTGCAACCCGGACCTGAAGGGCTGAGCCGTGGGCTTCCTGCCACCTGTTCTGCCCTGTGGGCGGAGGGGGGATGGGGGGGGGCTCTTGGCACGCTTGGCTTCCCTTGCCCACTGGGAGAGGAGGAGGAGGAGGAGGAGGCTCTGGGCGGAAACAGGCCCTGCTGACCGAAAAGGGGGGTGGGGGTGGGGCTGCCCCTTCATCCCAGAGCTGAGTGGGTGGGGAGGGCCGTGGCAAAATGCAACCCCCTCCCCTCCACAGCAGCTGCCCTTGCCCCTTGGCAGCCTGGCAAGGAGGCCTGGCTGCAGGGAAGGCCAAAGTGCCCGCTCTGGGCCTGGCTGAGGGGAGGAAGGCCCAGAAGGTGGGAGGGGGGCTCTTAGGGGTCTGAGGTGTTCCTTGCTGGAAGGCAGGGGGGGGGTGTTGCCTGGCCCTGTTTCGAGGGGGGGAGGGGTGCCGTTGCCCCTCCCACCACCGCTCTTCCTTGCATGCTTCTCTGCATGCAGACAATGCTGGGGAGGGGGTTTGCTTCTCCTTCTCCGTAGCTGCTTGGGGGGTTTCCTGCCTGCCTGGACCTAGAGTCCCCTGGGTGCCCCTCCTGCACCCCCTTTGAGGTGGGTGTCCCCAAAGGTCCTCCCTCCCTCCCTCTGCTCAGGTGCCCAGCCTTTCCCCTGCTGCCCTTCAGAACCCCCCCCCCAGCCCCCTCTCTACTCTTCCCATCTTTTTACAA